GTTAATAGTTTATGTTCAAGGCTGAAAGCATTTCTCTGGGAAACACAAGAAATCCTGCCTCCTGTTTCACTCAGAGCTCAATCATAAATCAGAGTCAAGTGTGCTTGTGCCGCTGTTTCATAAACCCACCAAAACACAGTCAGAGGTGGCATTTGGAGGATGACCTCTAAACTGCTCGCAGGTCATTCAGCGTCAGAGTTATTGAAAACACGATGATATTTTCTACTCAATAGCCACTTCCTGAGACATTTCAAGTGAACTGTGCACCATTGAGTGAAAAGAATTGTTTCGGAAGGTTGCATGTAATTATGCAGACCTGAAGAGCTCCGTAGACAAAACCTCTGTTCTGACTGTGAATGTAAGGCTCGTCCAAATAAAACTCCTTTCAGCGCTGAATAAAAGGCTCTGTGCAGGCTTTCACACAGCCCAGTGAGGAGTCCAGTACAGCAGCAAAGCAAAGAGGGTGAATCTCTTCCTCTTTATATCGTTCACTTTTGAGGGATGACACTTCATCTGCTGGTCTTTCCACCTCTTTGATCCAGACAGAAATATCATCACTGTGGATGCACTGTCTGGACATTTTGTACTGCTGTTCATGGTCGCCAGAGGATGAAACTCAGAGACTTGGTCGACATCATCAATGACATACGAGGTGAATGCGAGAAAAGTTCCAGGACTGGTGTCACAAACGCAAACTACAAACTACTAGTTTTCCCCTTCAGACGATCAATCAGCACGTCTACTAAGAGATCCTGTGGCGTTTGCTTCGTTCAGATAAGAGGTGAGAGTTGTGGCAGGACCAGTGGTGGCTGCTTCACCATGACAACGCCCTGAGCATCCCACAGTTCCTGGCTGAGAAGAACATCTCCGTGCTGGAGCAGCCTCCCTATTCACCCCACCTGGCTCCGTGGGGTTGTTTCCTCTTCCCCAAGCTCAAGGGGGTCATCAAGGGGACCCGTTTAGAAGACGTGAACGACATGAAGATGGCTGTGATGACGGAGCTGAGGAGGATCCTGGAAGAATCCTTCCAGGAGTGCATGGCAGTGTGGGCGAGAAGGCTGGGGACGACTCCAGGAGGATTACTGTGAAGGGAAAACTTGTAGTCTGTAGTTTGAAATATATCATTTGTGACACCAGTCCTGGAACTTTTCTGACACACCTCGTAGACGCTGAAAATGTGCCAACGCCAATAAACACAACTTTTTTTTTCTCACTATCTGACAATATTTACAACTAAACTTTTCCTGTTTTAGGTCAGTTAGGATTAACACAATTATTTCTGTTTGCTAAACGCCAGAATAATGAGAGAGATTTTTTTTTTAGAGATTTTTTATTTTTTTTATTGCTTTCTTCAAAGTCAGAAGTTTACACATATTTCCTTAGTATTTAGTGGCATTAACTTTAAACTGTATGACTTGGGTCATAGTTTTGGGTTTCCTTCCACTAGCCTCTCCCCATAGTTTTCTGGTATTTTGGCCCATTCCTCCGGACAGAACTGGTGGAACTGAGTCAGCTTTGCCAACATGCTGACCACTCAGCTGTTCTTCAGCATTCTGCTAAAACCCTGATTTTAGAACCTCAGTGTTGTCTGACAAACTCACTGTAAACACGAGTGAAAGATAAACGCCGATGATGAGAATTTGGTCACATATTTATAAAATTTGAAGTCAGAAATCAAGAAAGCTGGTTTGTGCTTGTAAAATATCAGCTCTGTCCAAGTACAAAGCTGTTCAATCGAAGCTTGGGTTTGTTTTGGAGTTGCACTGCTGACTTAATTGTTTTTTATTTATTTTTATCATGTTGGATTTGCCGGTTTTGCCTAAAAGTTTTCCGCTTTGAGAAGCAGAAGTCGGACCATGAGGTATATCTGGTATGCTCACCATTCAAACGTTTAACTATCTTTCTGTAGGACTCCACCTTTCAAGCCAAATAAGCGTAGAACAAATTTGCAAAACACCTCACTGGTCTCCAACATTGCCAAACTCATAAACCTTCTCAAATTCAACACACTGAGAAATAGAAGCAGGCTTTAGTTGCTTACTTGCCTGCTCAAACAGGATTTACGTCGCTGCTACAGATGTTTTCTTTTTTGCTGTAAACCTGTAGATTGGAGTGTTAGCAGCTTCAGCTTTTTTTTTTTACCCCAAGGAAATTACATTTTCTGACGCTTGTGGTTTTAAAGCTCGTGACATATCCTACGTACTGTGTGCATCTGTTTACACCAGGCCCCGGCGTCTCATGGCCCAGTGGGCCATTTGACTTGGCAGAAGCTGTTGAGTGGGTGGTTTAGATCCCTCGGCAACGCGGGATTATCAAATATACATTACAGCTGTTTCGGGCCCTCGTGTGAAAGCCCGGGCTCCTGTGTGTTAATTGCTGGCCTCGCTGTGCTCCCTAATTTCATGCTTGATGTGAACATTTGTCTTTCACGCTACGACGGATCTGGATACGTTTTGTGTACAAATGCAAGACTGAGCTAAGATATGCGGTCCCAGCCAGCAGACCCTTAAAGACCCCTAATTTTGTCACATTTGTAAACACACCAGACAGCCATGTTTTCTACTGTAAATGGGGCTTTAGGGGCTTTAAAAAACAATATAGACTGATTTGGAAACGGTCTGCATAATGACCCTGTTGGCCAAGGGAGTCATTTAGGGCCAAATTGCTGCTTGTGTTAAGCTTTAGTCCGTAATTAGGTCAGAATGAAAATGCTTGTATTGTGATGTTGGCCCACCAGGACTAGCACAGCTCCAGCCTCAGTGTTTAGAGTGTATCCATGTGTGTCAGAGTGACTCATTGAGCCCCTCTAGTGCTGTTGAGCTGCGAGGAGAGAGAGCGCCGGGGGCCGAGCTCATTCACAACCATGCGCTCTTATCAAAACATGTTTATTGCACTGTAATGTGGCGCCCTGTTTATGCAGCATTTAGCCGCGTTAAACTGTTGCTACGCAGCCCGAACGCCGGGCCGGAGACCAGCAGAGCTTGGAGGTCGTCTTGACCTGTGGTTCACCCTCTAAACCTCCACACGCCTACACAAACTCCTCTCTTCCTTCCTCCTGTCTCTGTCCTCCTCCATCACTCACCTATTTCTTCTACTTCTTGTCTGCCAACCGCTTCCTCCCCCCCCGTGCTGCCGCTCCCTTACCTTTCGGTTTTATTGATCATTAGCCGGTGTTGGAAAGAAAGAGGAGGTTTAATTAAGGAGCCAGACTGGTCTGTCAATTCTGCTCAGCGCTGCATGGAGAGCACCAGACCAAGCGATGGTCCTAATAGGGCTTCATACTGTAAACAACACGCACACCTGGACAGCAGCAGGCCCCGGGGAGCAGCAGCACAGAGCCGCTGTCGACCAGTTAGCGCTGATAAAGGGAGGAAGTTTATCATCACACGAGTACAGGCTGCTGTACGGAAGACTTCAGATGTCTGAGCTACATAAAATCAGACAGAAATAGGAAACACGTTGCTGCTTTTTGTTGTTGTTTATGTGTGAATTTACAGTTTAAATGCACGTCAAGGGCTGCTTATTCAGCTTTTTGTGTCTGAGTGAATTTATTGTTGTTGTGACATGAATTTTTAAATCTGTATTAAAATCAAACTGCACCACAGAAAACAAAGCGAGGATCGCTTCTCAGTGTTGTCCAGCAAAGACCCGCCAGAGTTAAATACGACTTATTAACCCTCATGAGGACACACGATGAATCATTTTCTTCTTTTCTTTATTATTTTTATGACTTATGTTGAGGCAGTAAACACAGGAAAAAGAGCAGGAGAGTGACCTGTTGTTAGGGTCTGCTGGGAATTGAACCACGTGGTCCTCAGCTATCAGTTCACCCAAAACTTTTCCTAAAAAATGAAAACTCCAGCGTTCAGTCCAACCATAATGTGGGACCATGACCAGAGTTTAGTGCTGCTAAACAAGAGCTGCCATCAGCTAAATAAAAGCAAACAAATTGTTCCGTTAACATATTTTTTTTTAATTTAATCCTGGCAACACTATTTCATGTGCTGATGCATGTAATACTGGAGATCAGGATGAATGTTCTCATATTCAGATGTTGCTTTTCAGTGAAAATGTGATTGTTCCGGACCTTTTGTACCAGTCGTTAAAAAATAAATCCTTCTGCAGCAGGTAAAAAACACTTAGTCAGCCTGAAGTCATAATGCCTGAAGCTGGATGAATTAAATATAAAAAACACATTAACTCTGGAACAGTTTTATGATTTCATTGGCATAACCAAGCACAGCGTTCATTACAGTAGCAAGAGAAGATCTGCCTTGCTGATGCATACACTGACATTATGGGTTGTTGCTGTCCTATACACGCGCAGTCGATCAGCATCCACATACCCACACATGCACACTGCTGGAACCTACAACACTGGTCCTAGAACCACTTTTCGTCTCGTGTTGTCTCTGCTCTGATGAAACATTGTTCACAGCCTCCTGACTGTTCCTGGTTCTCTGGTATCACTGTTGACTCTAATTCTGTCGGTGATTTCCCACAGCAGGACTTGGAGCTGCGCTGTGATCTCTTTGTGAATGAAACAGGAACAGGCTGCTCAATGTGACAATTTTCAGGAGTGTTGACTATGCTAATGGTCAAATCTCAGGAACAAGTTTGTGCTGTGATGAGATTTTGGTGAGATTGTGTAGAAGCAGAACTCACAGAGAAAAGCAGGAGGGTTTGGATAAGAATATTAAAATGTTCTCCAACCAGGTCCAGTGTTTGCTGTCTGTCACGTGATCTCTCTGTTTCCTTCTGACTTTTTTTCCGAGACATTTTAAATCCTCCATATGTGTGTGTGTCTGTCTGTGTTTGCTTCTTTGTGTTGTGTACATCGTGCTCTGTGCATGTCTAACAGACTTGTTTGCATACTTGTGCTCACTTACTTGTCCCCGTGTTGGGCCAACGATGATCCGCGGCTTTAATCGATGAAACTATCAAAACATCTGCGCCGCTGCCCTCTTGTTGACTCTGCGTGTCTCTTGTCTCTCCTCCAGAGAAAGTCAGTATGCTGTCAGCATTGATCGCTCCCTTCAAGTACATAAGCCCTGGGACCAACAGCACAGAGGACGAGGACAGTTTAAGTAAGCTGCTGCCTCCTTTCTTTCTCTCAGTCAGCACACTGCGCTAACTCTCTCGGTGGCGGGCCTCTGTCGCTCGCATAATTAATTATTTGGGGAACGAGCTCTTTGATTACACACGTGTGTGTTAAAATCTTATAAAAGTGAGCTATTAAATATTAAATTTGAGTGTTCGTGATAAATAAGTCATCAGATAGGTACTTGCATGCCTGCATACGCTCTCATCTCGAGCTACAATCTGCCCACCAGTGAATGTCTCCCATCCCACCATTAACATTCTTGTGGCGAGATCTGAACACCCTATTTTTGTTCATTTCCCATCAGAAATGCAATACGCCACCACTTCCCCGTAACTAGGTTTGAAGAGCGTATCACAGCTGTTCAGACTTTGCTCTCACGGAGGATAGAAGTGTGAAATAAAGCGGGCTACAGACATTTCTCTCATCCTTTCTCGGAATGCCTGCCACTCGACGCGATCCCCACCCCCCATTACAAATAGGATTGATGCTTTGCATTGGCCACGGGGACCAATGTTTCCCACTTACGACACAGATTCAGAACCAATTTGGAGGCAGATTACAGGATGATTTGGCAGATAACATCGCCATTTTAGGGGATTTGTATTTGGCTTTTAAAATACTTAAATATGATAGAGTCCTGTGGTATGAAGTGGGCTCGGCTCAGGGAGATGATTGTAGATGTGTTCATTACCATTTCATTGTGTATCAAGTGGCTCAATCTGCCTTGAGAGATTTTTCTTGATTCATTTTGTTCAGCCAGGATGAACGTGAGCGTCGACAGTAATGACTGCTTCCTTCTCACTCTTGTGTTTTGAGTATTTTTTTTAGCACTTTGAATGATATTGTTTCTGTTTTTGCTGTTTTCAATGCAGGCACCAGCAGTGCAGAGGTGAAGGAAAACCGTAACATTGGTAACTTAGAGGATCGGCCCATAGCCTCCGCAGAGTGCCAGTCGCTTTTCTGCTCCGACTCGACAAGAAGCGGGAGCTCTGGCCTGAAGAGGAAAAGGCCGCTGGAGGAAGACAACAACGGGCACCTGTGTCAGCTCCGTCTGATTTATAAGAAACTCTCCTGGTCTGAGGCTCCAAAGAACGCGCTGGTGCAGCTGAACGAGCTCCGGCCGGGCCTGCAGTACCGCATGGTGTCTCAAACGGGTCCCGTCCACGCTCCCGTCTTCTCAATCGCTGTGGAGGTCAACGGGTTGACCTTCGAGGGCACCGGTCCCACGAAGAAGAAAGCTAAGATGAGGGCTGCAGAGTTGGCCCTCAAGTCCTTCGTCCAGTTCCCCAACGCCCCTCAGGCCCACCTGGCCATGGGAAACATCTCAAACCCTTCTGCCGACTTCACCTCAGACCAGGCCGACTTCCCTGACACGCTTTTTAAGGAGTTTGAATCCTCGCCGTGCTCCGACGGCCTGTCATTGTGCAACTCAGCGACGGAGAGCGAGCTGCTATCGAGCGAGCTGCTGAGACACGGACGGTTGCTTCGCCACACCTTGGACCTGATGGTGCAGGCTCAGCAGAGGCTAGGTGGGATTGTTCCAGAGCCCGAGGCCCCCAAGAGCCCCGTGGCACTGCTCAACGAGCTTCGGCCGGGCTTGCACTACGCCTGCCTTTCGGAGCGGGCTGAAGGACGACGGCTGCGTAGCTTTGTGATGGCGGTACGCGTGGACGGGCGGATATTTGAGGGCTGTGGGCGCAGCAAGAAGCTGGCCAAGACCCAGGCGGCCCAGTGTGCTCTTCAGGCCCTCTTCAACATCAGGACAGCCCCTGAGGGGAGGACAGGCCTCAAAGCCAGCAGGAAGAGTTGTCCTCATTTACCCCAGGTGAGTACAGACACATCCCCAACGCCTGTCTTCTGCTAAGCTTCTTTGGCAACCACTTCACTTCCTACAGGGGCCTGTAATGACCAAAACAGCAGGCGTGCAGCGCAAATCCAAACACCTTCCAACAAGTAATTAAGGAGGAAAAGCGATAGGAGCTAAAGAGAGCGGGATAGAAAGAGAAATGGTGGCAGTGCCGATAAAGATGTGTGTAAGCAATCTGACTTTAACCATGTGTCAAAAATAGTGCTCATAGTGAATGTCCAAACCACAAATCTGTGTGTGTGTGCGTGCATTGTGTGTGCTCTGCAAAGCCTGGGCCTTGAGTAAACGATATCTGTTTGTCGGTCTATTTAAATAGAAAAGCATGTAAATGAAGCTAATTATTGTCCTTGTGCCTCTGACACATGAGGAATCTCAGCCACAACCCAAATGGGGTTTTTTCTCACAGTCTTGTGTGTTTGTCGAGCTGTAATTGGGAGAGTTTTGTAATTTTGCAAAATCTCCTGTTTCCTCATGTGTGGCATCACAGTGTCTACAAACATTAATTCAATCTGTTGCCCAAAGGAAATAGAAAAGCAAAGAGCAAATCGACAAACAAACCACTGAGACCAATCCCATGCTCATTTACCCAAATATGTAAATAGCAATCAGAGCAAGGAAACTAGTTTTTGAGAAACTTGAGGAAATTGGAGAGCCTAAAGACACAGTGGCTGGATTGGCTGGCACTTGTTGACAGCCATTGAAAACTTCATTGCAGCTGCAGAATTTCATCTAAAGTAAATCTGCCCTGGGTAGATAGTCACACTGATTTTGGTTGTTTACTATTGTTTGCATAGAGAGGAATTTCACATCCAGGCTGTCCAGGTCACTGACATGTCGACAACTGAAAGTGAAACTTTAAAATTTCCCTCAGCTGTCCTGTTAGAACACAAAAGACTGTAAAACACTGCACTCTCGAGGTCTTGAATTGAAAAATTAAGCCGTTCACATCCAAAGCGTCCTCTCCCTAAAGTCTTTCCTTGAAGCCTTCTGTCGACACACTGCGCGCCCTGTAGGGTATGTGTTGTATTAACATTCTTTTCTAGCCTTAAAGAAAAAAACTGGCAAGAGTGTCCTTCCCCAGAGCACGACATCAACCCAACAAACCTGCACATGTTTGCCTGAGAGAAACTTTTTCTTTTTCTCCCTACTGCCACGGTGTCTAAAAGGATTTTAAGAGGATTTGCCGCACCCGTTTAGTTCCAGAAAGCACTCGCTTGTGGAATTTCTTGAAAGTCAGCCGTGCTGTCTGCCAGGCTCAAGAAATGTTTTATTTTCATTGGTAAAGGACAGAGGCGTGCATATATTATTCATGCATGCATGCGTGAATAAACATGTGACCAGGCCTGTGTTTATAATGTGCTACATGTCTGAACTGTTGCGTTCTGTTACTGCAGAGGCATCCAGCGCACATGCGCTCCCTCTGTGTTCACATGCGACTCAGTCTTCTTGCCAAGCATTGATTGCATGGGCAGTGGTTGACTACACTGCAGATGTGACGCGTAATGTGGGGGTGGTTGCCAGCTGTAGCCTGAGGGTAGTGCAAACGGTATGGTGGCATGCCAGCTAATGTGTGCCAGCTCAGGCTGTTCTTTCCTCAGATTCCCTCCAGCTCTACCTGTTGCAGCATAAAGCTAAGAAGTCCTATACAGTATATACCGTAGAGCCTACTGATGAATTAATTGTTATTATCGTGTCAGAAGTGTGTGATAAACACGGTCAAAGGTGTAAACCTTGAGATGAAAATATGTAAAAATGCTGCCAGAATGCCAGAAGTTCAGGCTTAGCAACATAACATGATCTTCCACATAAAACTGATGTGAGACATGAGAACGGCTGTGAGTTGTGGCACTTCTGTTGCTGAGGCAGCGGATGCTCGCAGATTTTCTGAACAACGCGTTCAGAAAATCTGCGAGCATCCGCTTGCACATTTCAGATCAGGTTAGAATATGTGGAGAGGTGTTGAAATTGTCGGCATTTTAAGTTTATATTCAAAGATAGAAGTGACATCCAACTGCTGCTGTTAGTTTTCATAGATTCTGTAGCATGGAAAAGTCGGCCATCTTGGTTTTTTTTTTTTAACCGGGCGTCACCAACGAGGGTTGTAGCCCTGCCCTAAAACATACGCTGCTTAATTATCAATTTTACTTGAAATTTGACCATAATTTACAAAAAGTATTTGAAGGAGACTCTTTGGAGACCTTTAACCCACTGGCTAAATGTTTACTGAGGGAGCAGATCAAAGGTGAAGTGCGTAGCCTTTCTCATTAACATTTATTTCTAGACGAGCTGCCCCCTGATGGTCATTACAAATAATGCATGTTTAGAATGCGTCTGTGTTGACTATCCAGACTCGGAGGTCAGGACAGAGGCTACAATGATCTGAGATGAGAGGCTGCATGGAGGACCAGTGGAAGATGAAGGCGTTGTTGAACTGTAAATCATGCAAAGACATGTCAGCAGGGCCCCGGAATACCAAAATAAACCCAGACATGTTTATAACTTAACATTTATGTTTTAAAAAAATGTTCATATTACACAATTCTTTGACAAATGTTTGTTATTTTATACAACAATGAAGTCAGAAGAAGAAAAATAGAAAAGGTTCTATTTCATCCCCAGGTCTCTTAACATCATGAGTGTTGTTATTGATGATGGGAATGATGACCGAAGCTGCTAAGAACATGATAATGAACCCTCGTGTAATCCTTAAAAACAGAGCAGGATGAGCTCGTGTTGCTTTATGGCTGGTTGCATACATCTCAAAGGGATTCAAACTGCACGCTCAGGTGTTTCAATACCATGTTGTTTTTGGAGATAGACTTCAGAAACACCCACACTGTGACCCATGTGGACACAAAATAATTCCTTTTTGCAAAGAAGGCTATGGGCTGTTTTAACAGCACTGAACTGTCTCACACAACCTTTGGGCAGATTGGTTTACTTTAAACACCCACAGAGTTAACCACCACCAGATGTGTAACACAGGTTCAGAGGTACAGTAAAGCCTGTGGACAACACTTGTCAAGGAGAAGAATTCAACGCTTAAATATAACGAGGGGTGGCACTGAAAGGAAGACAGTTTTTCAGTATTAGTCTGTATTAAGTGAAGGGAGTGAGAACATGAGGGTGAGGGTTTGTATTCCTCAAACTTGGGCTGAACTAGAAGGTTGGTAACTCCAAACTCCATCACCTCAATGAATTATTGAAACTCACCAGAACTGCACGGTGCTGTATTCTTCTCAGACCTTCCTGGCTCACATACGAAGGAATAAAACAAGGAGATTGACAAGACAAGCATACGATAGACTCTCCTGCACTAATAGCCCAGACTTTCCTCCATCCCTCCTACACTCATGTCTCTGGGAATTGACTCGAATAATCACAGCAGAAATGAGGCACCGGGCCATACTTTGCTTGGCATTAAAGAGCTATATATCTTCCAGCAAGGACTTTGATTTGCTATTCCTTCATTTAACCTTTATTTGTCCTGGGAAATCAAATAAGAATGTATTCTGTGGAGATCTCTTTCCTTACATTCACTTTAGTCCTGTTATTCATAGCTGAGAGGCGCCCAGTGCAAACACAGGCTTGGGTTGAGAGTTAACTGCTTTGTTCAGCAACACATACGTAGAAGTAGTTCAGGGAAGGGGGGAAATTTTTAGGAGATCAGGGGCTCAGTGTAGCAGACTTCTAGTCACGAAGCCAGTTCTGTAAGGGACTGTATGAAAATAACTGGGGTGGGGAGGAGGGCTGAATATTATATTTCATTAAAAAAAAACAAAAAAACAATTCTCCTTATCGTCATTATTGATATTTACTTTGGACCTTCCCCTCAGTATCTCAGTTGAAAAGTTCAGAGTCGAGGGCAGCAAGGTCATGCACCAGGTCATGCATCGATCGACATTGGGACCAGCGTTGCAAATGTACATTTCACTGTGGACTTGCAGAAGCAGCACCGTGTCCAAGTCTGCAAGAACCTCCGTCAGCAGGCCCAGGATGACCCAACTTCCATGCTGAGGATCATCACTGGTGATAGGGGTTGAGTTTACAGCTACAATCCAGAGATATAACAGCAGTTGTAGCAGTGAAGGAGCCTTCAGTCTCCATACCAAAGCAGGTGCGTCAGGTTGGGAGTGTGCCAAGAACATGCGTTTTATTTTCCTCGGCATTCGTGAGACTGTTAAGTTCTAGTCTAACATCTTGAGGCATCTGAGAGAGAACATCTGATACAAAGCAGCTGAACTGTGACACAGAGTCATTGTGAGTGCTCCGTCATGACAACACACAAACATCATCACCCTACCTACCTGATTTGGTTTCCAGTGGCTCCTTCCTCTTCGCCAAAGTGAAACTCAGGCCTAAGGATTGCTGTTTTGACGCAGTGGAAAAATGCAGCATGCACCACGTGACAGAACGTCTGTGAAGATTCTCAGTCATCCAGGTCATGGCAGGTTAATCGTAGCAACTGGACTTGGTTGAGTTCCTTGAAGACGTTCCACCTCTCATCCAAGAGGCTTCATCAGTTCTGACTGACTAGTTGGGATTTCCACATACTTATATCCTTAAGGATCCATTAACACCTGGTTTCAATTGGGGGTTTGTTGCTCCTCCCCCTCGTTATATGAGTCGTTAGTGCTCCCCCTGCCACAATGAGGGTTCGTTAGGGTCTTCTGTGGCTAGGTGTGGATGTGATTTCATCTTCCTGGGGAGAGATCTTAGGACTGAACTGTAAACAGGTGAGAGGTGACGCCTCAGACCTCCACCTCTGTTGAGGGATGCTCTTCCCAGTTTGACATAGATGGCTTCTTTCACTCCTCTCTCAAACCATCCGGCCAAAATCTGTCCATTATTGTCTTCAAATAAGTGTCCTTTGTCCTTAAGATGCGGGTGGACTGCTGAGTCCTGTCCTGAGGAGCTGCTCTTCTGTGTTGTGCCATGTTCATGTGGAGCGGTTGTCT